AGATCCAGAGGGCTTTGAGGGACTCGGCTCAGCGTCAGAAGTTCCAGGCTGATCGCAGACGGTTGCCCGCTCCTTCATACCAGGTCGGCGATCGGGTGTGGTTGTCTACTCGTAACCTCAATCTTCGGGTGCCCACACCCAAACTAGCTCCCCGTTTTGTCGGTCCTTTTCGCATTCTCCGCAAGGTGAATCCGGTGGCCTATGCCCTTGCCCTTCCACCTGGGATGCGGATCTCCAATATCTTTCATGTATCACTGTTGAAACCTCTGATCTGCAATCGCTTCACTACCTCTCTGCCTCGGCCCCGTCCATTCGGGTTGACGGTCATGAGGAGTATGAGGTGAGCCGGATCCTGGACTCTCGATTGGTGCGCGGGGTCGATTACAGTTCCTGGTTCATTGGCGCGGTTATGGTCCCGAGGAGCGTTCCTGGGTTCCTCCGCGGATGTCCATGCTCCTGCCCTCCTCCGCGCTTTTCATACCCGCTTTCCTCAGAAACCTTTTGTTGAGCCGCGGAGGGGGAGGGGCCCTTGAGGAGGAGGTACTGTCAAGGTCCTACCTTTTCCCAGAGGTTATGTTACTCCATGTGCTGGCATCCATCTTGGATTTCTGCTGAGCATGGTGGGAATCTTTTATGCCTTCAGGTCTCTGAGGTCCATCCCCCAGAGGGGTGTGGCTGAGTACATATAAGCCTGTGATCCGCACATGCTCTTTGCACTTGTGTCTTGGTCTTGCTACAGCTCTGTGTATACGCTCGTGACTCTTCTGGTATCTGACTCGGCTTGTGACTAAGACCATTCTCTGTGTTTTCCTTCGATCTGACCTTCCGTTGCTGAACCCGGCCCGTGACCTGTGATTCTCTGTCTACTGTTCTGTACTGTTTTGTCCCGTTGTTGTCGACCCGGCTTGCCTGACTACGCTATTGTCATTCTCACCAGCTACACGCCATTGGCGGCGGCCATTACCGCAGCCGGGGTGTCTCGGGGGCCGCGACCTGGTTCCTGGCTGCGTCAAGTCCATCCCCACCATCAGGGGCCCTGGTGAAGCTGGGACTTAGACTCCGCGCCCTGAGGGACTTCGGTCTGTTGGTGGTGGTTGTCGTCAGCCAGTGCGTTACCCTGCCACTAGGCCTACCTGTCCGTTCCACAGCCCTGCCCTGACATGTACCCTTTTTTTGTGCTTCCTTGCAGACTTGTATTCAAAACTGTTTCTTGGAGACTTGGGCGAACTGACCATTTGGAAACTCTGGCACTGCCCGAGGGCCTGGAGTCAGTAGGGGGCCCCATGAGATGCCCCTGGAACATTTTTCATAGGTTTTTTTGAGTTTGGGCAAGGACACAGGGGCTCCATGATCCCCTATTGCCCGGGGCCCCATGAGTTGTCAGTCCGCCCCTGCTTGTAAAGTGGTGTCTGGTGATCCTGGAGGTTGGAGGCTGGCTATATTCCTCTCTGGAGTAGGGGAGATCCAAAAATATCTGATGATTGGAGGCATATTGACTGGGTCTAGGATCCCAAAAAAACCCTAAAAGGCACTTTTTTCACCAATATCTGGTGAGTGCAGTGTGGTATCTGAACACTATTTCGGTGGAAACACAGGTTAAAAGTTTTTTGGAAAAGGACTTTCATGAATATATTTTATTTTTATTTTTTACTTTATTGATTTGGAGTGGGACTTATTATTTTTATTTTTTATATTTTTTATTAATCATTATTTATTTAATTTTTCACTGCAGTGTATATCTATTAATTTTTATTATATATGTGCGCTGTTTTGAAGTTTTATAACTGTGAAAATCAGACAGGTATTCTAATGCTTCCTCATTCCATTCAAAACTGAAAACAAATATCTTGATATGCAGTTAAAGAATTATGGGTAGTTTGTGGTCAACATGATTAGCAAATGTACTGTTAGTGTGTAGGATGAATTGACAATGATTATATTTGCTGCATGTGATGAAATGGCATCATGACTGTGCCTTTGATAAATGAAAAAGTCATAAGTCATAGGGTGTATAAGGAAGCATGCAGAAGAGCATTGAGGAGTCTGCAAAATATCTTAATTTTTTTTTTTAAATGCTACCAATAATCCAAAAATTCTCAAATATCAGTATCGAGTAAGTCAGGGTGATGTGGGTTAAGTTTTAGTTCATTCATTGTTGCTTTCTGGTGGGTTTTATACTGATTTTAACATTTAAAAAAATAAACCTTTGCCATCCCCAGTAGCATAATTTGTTTCTTGACTCAATATTGCAGCTTCCTCAGAAGGCACTGACTCTTTTGCCTGTTGTCACTACATTGATAAAAAAGCAGAAAAGATTCTAAAAAATTGCTTTCTAAACCACTAGTACAGCTATTGGTTCATCTGGCAAACTGCCACTGCTGCAAAGCTACTAATTGCTTTCTGGACTTCACTGGCACTTGAATAATGAGAGCAAAAAGAAGTTGTTTTTCAGAAGATGGCTAAATCCCCTAGGTATTGCTAGAAGCAGCACTGCTGTGTTTATTATCCCTTTATCACCCTGCCAATTAATTCATATACGTAATGCAATTTTTTCTATTACTGCTTTGATTGCTCGGAAGTGTTTTTTTTAACTGTTAAGGAAAAATATATTCTAAGGAAATTAAAATGACACCCCTGTTTCTGAGCCCTGCAACAGTTTCTCCCAGTCCAGAAGATCCTGTTTCACCTTGACTCCTGAATAGTAATTTCAGACTATACCTGCAGCACCACCTACAGATAAAATGTGACATTTATTATACACTTGCTGTATCTTTGTGTTGGATTCATTGTCAAATATACCATAAAACACATGCCACAGGAGTGGCATTTGATATCGTCAAGACCTAGCTGTAACAATATTATTGTTACATTATATTTTTTTTAACTAATTCCTTTGTATGCAAATCAAACGAATTTCCTTTAATCCGTGCATAATGACAGTTAAAACAAATTCAAATAACTATTTAACTGCCTATTAACTCTGATTTAACCGTCATCAGCGCTGATTTGCTTCATCCTACCCTTCTGCTCCTAGATATATTTTTAAATTTTTTTTATCATTCATATTTAGATTTGTTTTCAATTTCACTCTTTTTTCACTCTTCACTCGCTTGACTTTGTAGCAATGTATTAAAATATGCACAAATAATTCTTCATTTCTATTAGTAAATAACTTTACCATGCTCTGTACCAGAAACATAATTTTATTATAATTGGATCAAATATTATTTGGTTTTCTATGCCATCCATAGACAAAATACATTTTTCAAATTTGACCAGTATTAGTTTTAAAGCAACTAGTGTTATTGTAGAGTAGAAAGTGTAAGTTTAATTCCATATTTTGCAAGACAATATTTCCAAAAGGAAGTTTTTTTATTTAAATGTATTTCTTCATTATCTGAAATTATGACAAACATAATGATGAATCAGTAAGCCCATAATTAAAATGTGGGATTTACTCTGATTCATTAGGGCTATACAGGTGCAACAATTGAAATGGTTAACTCTGTTGGCTGCTCCTGGTATCTCCAGACCAATTGGCACATTCAAATGGTCAATTTTTTTCACTCATGAAAAAAATAGTTTTCAACAGCAAAACAGGAATAACTTTGGGTTTTGCCCAGGGGCGGACTGACCATTTGGAAACTCGGGCTCTGCCCGAGGGCCCGCGGTCAGTAGGGGGCCCCATGAGATGCCCCTGGTACCTTTTTCATAGGCTTTTTTGAGTTTGGGCAAGGACACAGGGGCCCCATGATCCCCTATTGCTCGGGGGGCCCCATGAGTTGTCAGTCCGCCCCTGGTTTTGCCTGTTTATGGTGTTTCTTATGGAACCAGATTTTTTCCATAATGGACCAGACTGTTAAATGTAACATGGTATCCCCAGCAATGTCCTTGAATTTAGCGAACATACACTTACATTGCTAAGATTCTTGTGTCCAAAGGTATGCCTGGACACTGGGACTTACCATGTGACTGCAATACAGATAAAATCTACCACTTAGCACTCATATTAAAAAAAAAATAGCAAGTGCTTTATTGTTAAATGGTCTTTCTAAAGAATAATTTTAGTTACATTTTGCAATGTATACACAGTCATGGCCCAAAATATTAGCACCCCTGCATTTCTGTCAGATAATGCACTACTTCACCCAGAAAATTGTTGCAATTACAAATGTTTAGGCATTCTCATGTTTATTTCTTTTGTTTGTATTGGAATGACACAAAAAAGTGGAGAAACAAAAAGCCAAATCGGACACATTCCATGTAAAACCCCATAAGTTATAGATATACCTTACAATAAATAAATTAATAATAATAATCTGGTTACCAGAAAAGTTTGAGATGCTTTATATTGCATTTTTTTTACTCTGTCAGATGAAGAAAAGCAGGCTAAAATCTGTTTCTATGGGATTTGTACAGAAGAAATCTCCTATATGTAAAGCATCATAACTCATACCACAGCTAATGCTTGAATATATTTAACAATAATAAGGCACACAATCTGCAACCTTCACAAATTTTGTTGCATACAGTATATACTGTAGTATTTATACAATTGGATATAGTATTTTTTTGTTTTATATGTCCTGTGGGGGAGATTTCTCTTCACTTCATGCCATAGAGATGTAACAGAAATTGAGAGGAGATTTCTGGAAAGTGAGGGGAATTATTCACTTAGGCAGTTGTCACAGAAACAGGTATTCCCATTGGAGGATTTCCATCGGAACATTTTGGATTTCCCATTGCTTTCTGTTTCAGTGACAGTGGTAACTCGGACAATAGAGAGGGTGAATCTACCTAATGGGAACACAGAAAGAAGCAAAAACTTCACAGGGGTTCTGAATCTTCCTACTCTAGCCAAAACAAAAAATGTTTTGGCTTTACATCCACTCTACTTTTCTCCATGATCAGAATAGCCTGGCAATCATTCAACTCTTTTGGCTTTAAGATGGTGTGTTATACTGTAACTTGATGCTAATATTTACCTCTTTCCTTTACAGTTCTTCAATTTGGCTTCACAACTATATTTGTTGCTGCTGCTTTTCCACTTGCACCACTCCTTGCCTTACTTAACAATATTATTGAAATCCGCCTTGATGCTTACAAATTTATCACTCAGTGGAGACGACCCTTAGCATCGCGAGCCAAGGACATAGGTGAGACCATCTGGCCTAATTCGTTTTGAGTGGGTAGTTAAAGAATGTATCATATAGTTGAATACAGATTGTATAGTATGCTTGACTTGGCGCTTCTGTCTGCATTCATTAGTATTGATCTCTTCTAAGAGCTCCCCTAGTTTAAGAGGAAGTTTAGTGCAATGTGCTGAAATTTACTATTTGTACAGTACTCTAGATAAGTGTGTACATGTTAATTAGCCTTTTTATGTGTCTGGTTTTAGCTATTTATCTGCAAAAACATTTGACAGATGAAATCACTGATGCATAAAAGTATACTGTAACTTCTCCTAATTTAGGCATAATTAATATTCAGGCAGAAAGAATTGTGATGTTCCTAAACCCTCAGCAAACAGAAATCAGGTTTTAGTAATTAATTCACTATAGCTGCTGAGTCCTCATGGGTTACTTCACAATGTTTTTCTTTATATATTAGAACCAGTGCTTAAAAATTGGATGTCCTTCAAGACTACATTCAAAATGTCCTTTCAAGGAAATCTTTAAAAACTTTGTGTTCAATAGTACATTTGTTGTATAACCGTCTCCTTTCTTTGAATTCCTAATGACAATTCACTCTCCCGAATATCCAATCTCAAAAAATATAAAAAGGAAAACTATAACGTGTAGTAGGTTAAACATATGTGTGTTAAAATATTCATATAATGTGCTCACATTAAAATAATATGTGCAAGCCTTTTTTATATACCACTCTGAAATCTTCTTCTCAAATCTTTATTTGGTGTCCTTCCTGGTGGAGATCCTCATCCCTCACTTCAAGGTGGGTATTTGGAGTTCTCAAAAAAATAGATCATACACAATAATAGAACACCATAATATACAATTGACAAAAAAAAATGTTATTCCTACTACTCACATCAAGTGAGCATCAGATGTGCATATCCCTTTAAGGCCCTTTCAGTGTTCCACCACGTGCAATGTGCTCAAATATTCACTCCATGCACCTTACCAAATATTCTAATCTCATGTGCATATCCAATAAATCCTTTCTGCAACCAATTTTCCTTCTTGATTTTAATATATGTGTACAAAGACACTAAAAAAAATAAAACAAGAATAAAGTGTGATACTGCTTTAAGAAAGTGAAATATATATGTCCAAATCACTACATAAGCATGCAAAACCAATGCCTTCTTATAAACACTGTGCAATGTGTGTCCAATCTCAGTATTCACCAAACAATCACTCCATGTACCTTACCCAATGAATCAAAAAATGGGCGATTCTCATTCAATTATCTTCACATCAAAGAATTCCTCCATTCATCAAAACAGCAGGATTTCCCAATGAAAAAGATCAAACAGGATGCATAGTGAAACAATTTTATATAAAAACAAACCATTTATTCATATGCCATTGCACTTACAAACACAAGGATTAAAATGCCTGTAAACTCAAGATGGACACCATGGCACTTGCAAAAATGATAACGTCACTTCTGACATGTTTTGTCCAATTGACTTCTTCCTAGGATGTTTCTCTTTGCAAAATGAATCAGCCAATTATATAATTTCCTGTAAAATACTTTCTTTTTTTTGTCCTAAATTGGGTTTTTGGTGTGTTGTTAAAAGAAATAACACAGTTTCCTCTTAGTTGGATTGTTCTCTGTCATTGAACAGTGCCTTCAGTGGCACAGGGATCTATCTATCTTGTGCTAAGCCAATGGCCCCATGCATTTGGTGAAGCAAAGTGGAATGTGTTGTTGCTTTTTGTATGGATGAAATATATATATAGAATTATTGTAAAAGAAATTGTTTATAGAAGCCTGTCACCTTCTCACATGTAGTTTGTCAGTGCAAATTAGAGTTTGAAATGGTGAAGCAGTTTTGTTTATATGAGCAACAAAGACAGTTTGGATACATGATTTAACGTTACATTTTTACTGTTAGTAAATGTTACAGAAGCACAATATAAAAATCTTTACCAATAAACACATCAAATACTTAGATGGAAATATGTGGACAGCATGTAGTGTAAAAAATGTTTTATTTTTATTGGAGATATAGTTGTGCTCAGAAGTTTGCATACCCTGGTAGAAATCATGACATTTTGGCATTTCTGGCATTTTGGCAGAGACACCTGTATTTCTGATGATTTCATTTAAATTACAAAGTTCCGGGCCCTTTATTACATGGGGTCCCATCTGTTGTCTTTAAAAGTGTCCCCCCTCTTAGGCTAAGTGTAGCCCCAAACAGGGGTGGACTGACAACTCATGTGGCCCCCGGGCAATAGGGGATCATGGGGCCCCTGTGTCCTTGCCCAAACTCAAAAAAGCCTATGAAAAAAGTACCAGGGTCATCTCATGGGGCCCCCTACTGACCCCGGGCCCTCGGGCAGTACCCGAGTTTCCAAATGGTCAGTCCGCCCCTGGCCCCAAATGTTTTGGAACTTCCTGAGAAACTGCTGTTCTTTCAGGGGATGAGTGGATACTATCCATGTAGAAAATGCAAAGCTTGTAGTATCAATACCCAGACATGTAGGAAATTTACCACCTTTCAATCGAGATGCACTCTTAGGACTTATAACATTGGGGAGTTGATCACATGTACCACAAGTAATGTAGTTTATTTAATTCAGTGCCCATGCGGTCTGTGATATGTGGGGTGCACGGTGCGCATGTTATGCACCAGATTTGATGAGCACATTGGGAACATACACAAAGGGTTTCCTAACCACAGCGTATCTAAACACTATGCGCTACAGCACAATAAGAACCCTGAGGGAACTTTGTTTCTTGCCATTGATAAGTTCACTCCGAACTGGAGGGGGAATCATGCGAGGTGAGAAATTTCTGTGAATTTGTATTCTGTTTTGTATGTATATTATTCTATTGAAGAACAAGATGATACTGTCCTCGGGTATAATTTTAATTAGTAAAATTCATCAGTAAAATTGTCCCATCTCCTGTTTGGGGGTGCGGTTCCGGTAATGAAGCGCATCTCTACCGAGGAGAATTGTCCTTCTGGTCTCTATATATAGTGCATGATGCTGCACATTGTCCACGCCCCTGACAACGTCTTTTTGGTGATGAAATGCATAGAGTGGAGTCACGCCCTGTGACGTCATCATGTACCGCATGGACTGTGGCTATCTTTTTGGTTGGAAACATCACTACTGGCATGGTGGTTTATACTGATGAGAATGTAAGAGCAATTTTATGAATAAACTCAGTTTTATCAATTTACTACACTATGAGCTGGCATTTTTCCCTCTATATGGCGTCTGTTGCCTGGTGAGAGATTTGCCATTTAAGATCCTGTCATCTGTAAAAGTGCTTCAATAATTGGACTGTCTGAGGAGTCTTACCAAGGAGTCTGCGTTATATTGTCTGGGCCAGATAACTGTGCTATTTGACCAGTCCTTTGGGTGCTCAAATTTTCTGCTAAGAGGCTTTAATATTGGGTGGACAGTGGAGGTCTCTGGTTATGGTTTTCGTCTCTAAAAACCCAACACCTGCAGACTTATGTGGACTCAATGCTGACTGTCATTTAATTTGTGTGTTGTGTTGCACCTTCTTTAATCCACTTTAGGTGGGGCTATTTCACCTAATTTTTAATATGGTTTTTCTGTGTTTATAATATGCTGTTAGCCTTGCAGTAATATGATACTATATACAACATGTATTTCTCCTGTGTTTACCTGTGGGTTTTTGCATCCCAAACAATTTTTGTGGCAATTGTGGCTGCAATCTGTCTTGGTCTACCTGACCTTGGCTTGGTATCAAGAGATCCTCGAACTTTTCACTTCTTATTTGAGACTGTGATTGAACAGTACTGACTGGCATGTTCAAGGCTTTTTTATATCTTTGTATATCCTTTTCCATCTTTATAAAGTTCCATTTCCTTGTTATGCAGGTTTTTGACAGTTCTTTTCTGATCCCCATGACTCAGTATCTAGCCTGCTCAGTGCATCGACACGGGAGCTAACAAATTCACTGACTATTTATATACAGACACTAATTGCAATTTAAAAAGTCATAGATATGGAAAATTAATCTTTAATTGCCATTTTAACCTGTGTGGGTCGCCTTGTGCATCTGTACCAAGGCCAAACATTATGTAAACTTTTGATCAGAGCTATTTCGGTGATTTATGTTATCATTATGATTTAAATAGGAGCCAAACAACTATGTGGTTATAAATCAATAATACATTCCAAAATGTCATGATTTCTGCCAGGGTATGCAAACTTTTGAACACAACTGTATAAGAGGTCAACTTTATAAAAGTTTTATGTAGTCAATGTGGTTACCTTTATAACTATTCTTGTTTTGTATAGTAGTTGGTACATTTTTCTAATTACCATTGCTTTAATTGTATATTGTTAGGCTATTCTTTGACACCTTTATTATATGAGCACTTTGTTCATTAGTTTTATTACTTTCATAGAAGTAGTATGCTATCATGCATCCTCATCTTTAAAGACTGGGCTGCTGTTGAAAGCCTTGAGTCTTAAATTGTCCAGTGAAACCAGTTGTTCTATTCTTCAAATGATTACTATGAGAACAATCATGGTAGTTACAGAAAATGTTGTTTTAGTCTGGCCACACACCCTACCATTGAATTGTACAATCTCCCTTAGAATTTCCAGCAACTCTAGTGCAAGTGCCTACCTCACTGTGATATAGATTGAAGGAGTTATTTAGGTACACTCTCACACAACACAGTTCAATAGCAAATCTAGGAAATTGTACAGAGCTTGTATAATATGATTGCGGTCTGTGTGGCCAGCTTCAGAATCCACCTTTTAGCTGCGAGCTGCCTCTGTAAAAGTAAAAAATAATTATAATAAATAATTTGTTCAAACATTAAAGGAAAGGTGCTTTGAGATACATTAGGCTGCAACACCTGGTTTGTTAGTTGAATGACGATCTTGCTTATCCAGTAACAATAATTTCCTATCTTCCAGTCTAAAAAAAGTATGTATCAAGTGAAACCAGAGTAAATTTTACACAACTAATCTTA